GGAGACTGAAGTTCATTATTTGTACACAAAACAGATATAACCACAACACCTGTGCAAGTTTTCCCCATCACTTCTCTACTACTGTACTTCAACACCACCCAAAGGAGTCTCTCTCTGGGTCAAAGAGGAATTCAGTCTCCAGGCAATGTTCTTTCTTTATCCTTTTACCAAAACGCCAAGCAACAAAAGTTCATTTACATTTCTGTTTTATTTCCCAACACATCAAAAGCTTCTCTAATGAAGTTACCACTTAATAACCCAAGTACATGCATCCACGTCACATCTGAATACTTAAGAATATTTAGCCAAGATACCCAAAGGGATGAACTTCCCTACATGATTTATAATATATACTGTACAGAATTTATAAGTTTTACATATCACAACACCAGACACTATTAAAGAATAATTAAAAAGATGGAAAGTCTTTTGAACAAAGTCACCTCCACAGAGTACAAGAAATAGAGTCTAACTTCCATGTTCTCTTTGAAGTTCTCACACACTTAAATTAATGCCAGGCATCATATTTATCTTTCAAGTTCCTCTAGGGATGTCAAACATTATCATTAGTATTTCTGGACTACTAACCTCAAGTAATCCCCCACCAATTGAGCCCCCAAGATTCAATCACAGAAACTAAGTGGAAACTAATGAATTTGTATTAATAATTCCCACAGTAGCCAATCTGGACCCTCTACAGGCATACTGTGCTGGACGGTCAGTAGAGAGAAGGCACCTGGCTGTATTTATCTCCCCCTAATTGGTCTCCTAGCATATGAAATATAATTAGAAAATTAACTGTTCCTTTAAGTATATTCCACTTGCTCTTGCCGTTTTTGGTATATCTATAGGTAAAGGCCACATGATCCCTCAATCTGACAAACATAAACAACTGAGTGACATTCCTCCTATAGAGACAGCACCAGGGACTACAGGTCCAATGGGTGATGGAGCAGCTAACTCCCTCCAACTTTTAACCACATAAGTGACCCTCAGACCGTCACTTTCCAAACAAAACACGCTAACACCTTTCCTTAGCAAGTAAAACTAGCGGTGACAGAGAGGACTTTACAAGTGATCTCGTCTCAGAGCCTGAACAACAACACCGCCGCATACATTTACTCTCTGCCCCACATCCTGGTCCAAATCGATGCCAAGGTTTCCATGGATTCGTATGATTACCCCCATGGGATTAGCACCATAATTGACACCTGTGCCCAGGGCTTTAGCGGGTCTGTTATTACCCCCGCCGCCCCAGGTGCCGGGCTGTTTTCTACCAGCACCCGCTGGCTGCTTGTGCGTTACGCCCGGGGGTCTCTCCCCCGGGCCCGGAAGCCGATCAGGACCCCATCCCCGTACGGGGAGGCGGGTCCGAGGCCTTCC